AAATAGAAACAATTAAATTAGTAATACATGATTGTATAAACAAACAATTTACAGTAGAAAAAAACTCATTTATTTACCTTTTTGCAATTTCAGTGAAGAACAACTCTACTTTCCTTTTTAATGAAGTCTGTAATTTAATGAAGAAGAACGAAAGAGAAAACTGATATGGGTATAATAAGAAACTAATGTATTAAAGTGCACAACTTTTGCGGGAAAATGGATTTTCGTGTGTTTTATGCGCGAAAATTTTTGAGAAAAATTTTTAGATGCGGGAATTCTATTTTCCCCAAAATTTTCACTTTCCTTCTAACCAAACATGTAAAAAATTTAAAAAAAATTTATTTTTTTTTTCCTTTTCTGATTATTTCACGCTAATCAAACGAACACGTACCGTCCCCAAAAAGAAAAAGAAAAAGAAAAAGCTCTCCTTCGTGTATAATAATGATTGTAGAGAATATTTACAAAAGAAGGGAGAAGCCCAGCCCAAAAGGGCACATGAAAAGGCCTACCAAATACAAAGGACCAAAAGAAAGAAGTCCTGGACCCCAATCGGCTAAATATCCAACCAAATTTGCAACAACAACATGTCAGAATTTTGGGTTTCTATTATTATTTTAAATTCTTAATATTCCAAATTTGATGATTGATTATGTACAAATATAAAGTAATAAATATTATAATTGAATATATATATATATATTAGCAAATTGGATTTTTATCAGTAGAGCAGTTTGTAGTCATTCATTGAATATAAATTACTACAAGTGCCGGTAAATACACTATTTAAATCCAATATTTAAAAGTTGTATCCCCTGTAATTACAGTTCAATTGATCCCTGGTGAGCATAAAGTAATATACTCGTTTTTAATTCTGACCTTAGAATCTAATCATACGGTAATTAATTAATCCGTATTTCCTTTTTATATTTAAGGCAATTTTTTTTTTTTTTTTTTTACCATTATATATTATTAATAGGAAATGACAAAACTAGGCATGTTTTTAATGAAAACAAATTAAAACCAAATTGCTTAGGATTTTCATTTATACAAATTGTTTCCCATCCGAATTCTTAAAGCATGCCAATTAAAAATAAAAAAAATGTAATTATTTCCAATTCCTTCAAAAATAGAAGGTTAAAACATATAAGGCAACCACATCAAAATAAATAAATAAATAAATAATGAAATTTCCAATCCCATTAAATTTGAATTGCCACGGCGGCGGTGGTGGAGGTGGTGGCAGTGGCTGGGTAGGTGGTGGAGGCGGTGGAGGTGGTGGCGGCAACGACTGTGGAGGTGGAGGTGATCCATTCACTTTCTCTTTCATATTTTATATATTGGGTTACATGATTTGATGATTTTGTTTATTTTTTAATTCATTTTTATGCACACACATACAAATAAACATATTTTGAGAGTACAACATTCCTTTGTAATTGGATTATTCGGTAAAGAATTATTTCACAGACATAAATTAATTGCAAGGTTGATAAAAGGACGATTGTACGTTAATTTTTCAACTGTTATGTTTTGAGAAATGTTTTGAGAATTCCGTGACTAAATGGATAGGAACGAAAGGAATTAGAAATAATTAATTTTTTTATTTTTAATTGGTATGCTTTAAGAATTCGGATGAGTAGGAATTCGTATAAAAAAAAATCCTAAACATGTCTAGTTTTGTTATTTCCTATTAATAATATATAATGGTAATTAAAAAAAATAAGCAATTGCCTTAAGTATAAAAAAGAAAACAACAATTAATTAATTACCTTACAATTAGATTCTAAAGTCAGGATTAAAAATAAGTATATTACTCTATCCTCGTCAAGAGCAATTGAACTAAAAATAAGTATATTACTCTATCCTCGCTAAGGAGCAATTGAACGCCACTACACTTAATTAATGTATATATAGTTACCTTATATAACGACTGGTCATGGTTAATTTTTTCATAACTCCGTAACAAGTCTTATCAGTTATCTAATAGACTTCTTATGGGAAGGGTGTCATATATTCTATATATACATATATATATATATAAATAACCTTGTTTCATTGAGAGATGTGTAAGTGAAAAGCGTAGAGGGTGGAAGATCAAAGCCTAGTATATTTTAACATTGTTCGAACTTTCTTCAGGTATGTTAAACAAATTATTTTTTGTATGTGTATGATTTTTTAATTTAATTTACGAAACACACCAATTCAAAAATAATATTAAAAAATAGCATCAATAGGAAACTCTATTCTCGCTTTATATATTGCATGTTGGCTCCTGAATCTTATATTATAACAATTTTTGTTATAGTGGTGTTGTAATTTATCAACTCATTAATTTTATTTTTCATATTTAATCTTCACATAATTTTTGGTTACCCCTAGTATGAGTTAACACATTTAATTTTGTTTTTCGACACAATAATTTAGTTTTTTTAGCACATAAACTCTGACTGAAATAGGTAGAACAGCAAAGGGTCTGGGCTCTGCATAAATTGAGAAAATTAAGAACGAGTAAATTATGTCTCAGGTTTTAGTTTACATATGATGTAGGACGTATTTTAGTAATTTTTTATAATTAAATTTATTTATTTTATTTTTAGAGAGTTTTTAGATTTAGGTAATTTTCTTATAAATTACGTTTTCTTATAATAGGTTTCCTTGTATATTTAGTTTACTTAAACAATTAGTTTCTTTTAGTTATTAGTTTCCTCTACAGTTTAGAGTTTTATTATTATAAATATGATGCACTCTTAAAATCAATCAATTTTATTAATAATATTTCAAAAAATTTTAAGAATTTATTCTAGTTTGGGATTCAAACTCTACCTATCTTGTGTATTCAAGATAAGTAGATAACCCTTGCTTTTATTGATTCTCAAACGACCTCCCATTATGTTTGGAATTTTAAATAAACAAATTTATCCTTATTCAATTAAAAATTCATTTACCAAAGTTATAATAGAAGTCGAATATTCAAGTCCTGAGTGGTATATTCACTATATTATAAGTAATACCAATCTTCACTCTTTTACTTTTACATGAATAACATGTGTTCCATATTTTTGAAACATATTCATAATTTTAAAATATATTTTTTATTTCTCACACGCTAACTTTTCCAACTTTTCCAATGATATTGTTAAGAAAATTTCAAATTTTATTTATAAATATTAAGATATATATTACTTCATATAATGTATTGAGATATAGGAAGTATGGATACTATACATAAGTGATTGACATATCTGTATTATGTTTGTATTGAATACCATTTATTGGATATTTTTTAAACATATTTATAATTTTAAAATATATTTTTTAATTTACTTCCTAAACGTCTCCATAATTTTAAAAAATATTTATTTATTTTTAATTTTCACACGTATCAGAGATATCGATTTAAGATACTTTAAAGCACACTTTTAATAAATTTTGAATATTAAAGTGTAACTTTTTCAACAACAATATCATAGTATATGATTAAAAAAAAATTAAAATTTATTTTAAAAAGAACTATTAAGATATATAGTATAATTTATTTAAAATTTAAATATTGTGATATATTCTTATGTTATATTTAATTGCTTATTTATTTAAAAAAAATTTAATAATAGTATTTAGATTTATAATATTATAAAAAAAATGCCTAAAATATTAATTTATTGTATATGTAAAATATAATTTTTTATTTTTATTTTAAATAAAATTTTACCCTTAATTCTAAGGCAAAAACATCAATACTATGTTTGTGATAACAGCGAGGTCTCCGGTGGTTTAAAGGCAACATAAATACAAGTCCATTAAAAAAAAAAAAAAAAAAATCTGAAAAGTGGCATTGAGATTCAATTCTCCGAATCTGCAATAAATTAAAAAACGTACACACTTCTTGGACACCAAAAATAAATAATTTGACACTTATAGTTAAAAATGGCCTCCCACGTCTTTGAATGTCCTAACTTGTCGCCCTCAAAATTTGCTGGCCTTTGTCTCTTACAAAATTTTCTGGCAACAACTTATTTAAAGAAACACCCAAAAAAACACATACACAATTCATCATCATCATCAGCACCATCACCACCTTCTGAAAACTGCAATTCACATCACAATTCCTTGATTCATCTTTAGCATATGTTCAATTTTAAGGTATGTTACCTGTTCTTTTTCCTTTGAATATTGTTTTATATGATTCGAATTCAATACAACTTTTTCATCTCTGTTTTCTACTTTTTTTGAGTTACCAAATTCGTCGTATCAAATTCGGGTCAATTTTTCAAAAACTGCCAAAACCCTAAAAGACGAAAAATTTAGAATTGGACTATATATAACCATTTCATACTTTCTTGTCAGTCATTTTGTTTTATTAATGAATTGGCTTACTTACCCATGAAGAATCTTAACAGAAATAAAATCAAATCCGAAAATGGGCAAGTCCCATTCTTGGAGCAGTTATTAAGAATGTACGCTAGTTCTTGTTTTCTTTTTTGGATTCTCCTTGTCATCATCTTTACCATATAAAATTGTGCCTCCTTTTCGAAGGAAGGTAGAGTAAATTATTCAATTTTTTATTGAAAAAATAGAGTTACAAATAGAATACATGTTTGAAGAGACCAATAGTTGTTTAATCGTAAAAATTGTGACATTCTTTTTTTAAAACAACACTAAACAATTTTTATTAAGAATCGGAATATCTAACTACTTTATAATAGGCATGTGTGGACAAATCTTATTAAAAGTTAATTAATTTTTGCAATGAATATGTTGTTAATTAATTTTATTCTTTCATTTTTTAAATTTGAAATTTGAAATTAAAGACTAACCATAACGCCAAGTCTGAAAGAGATTTGCAATGAGTTGACTTGGGCCAATGGTTGTAATTACAGGGCCTGAACAGGGACTAAGTGAGTAGTTAATTCAAGTTGAATTGACCCGGAGTGACTCGGACTTGTTCGTCACAGAAGACCAAAAAGGGCCCAAAGTCCACACGTCCACTGCCAAGGCCACATGGGACTGTTCTGTCATTTATTAACCACAAGCAGGCTTCTGGGTTTTGCTTCCAACCACCCTCTCTCTTTCTCTCCACAAACAAAAAGGTCTCTCTCCCCCTAACCAGCAAAGACCACACCTGCAATTCCGACCCATCCAATCAGTCTTGATTGTACGGACGCCACAACAATAAAGCAATCAACAGTCAATTTCATGCAACAGAAAGTTGTTTGTTTCCTCCGTTAGAGAGCTTTTCTTGGTCTCTGCAAAAACCTGGGTTCGTGAAGTTCTTGGCGGGTCTTAACCAACATGTCAGCACTGACCCGAGACCCGAGTCACAACTCGCTCAAATCTTTCAAATTCGCTCTCTTCCCGAACGAGAAGAACACTGATTTTTTCGCCACCTTGTTGAAAGGAGCTCTCTTGGTGTTCTTGCTCACCTCCATTTCACTCGTGCTGTACTCGGCTTTCGCCACTCAAACCGGCTGGTTCGGCTGCCCCGAATGTCACAGACCCGTCCAAAGATCCGCCCGCAGTCTCAACCCCACCAACATTTCCCACGTCCTCTTCGGCATCGCCGGGTCGGTGAAGACCTGGCACAATCGGCGCCACTACAGCGAGCTCTGGTGGAAACCCGGCATCACCCGCGGGTATGTTTGGCTAGACGGAAAACCCGATTCGAATAAGCCATGGCCTGAGAGCTCCCCTCCTTATCGGGTCTCCGAGGATTGGTCCCGGTTCAAGTACTCCAGCTCACGCCCCGCGGTTCGGATCGCCCGAATTGTGATGGAAAGTTTCCGGTTGGGTTTGCCGGATGTGAGGTGGTTCGTGATGGGAGATGATGATACCGTGTTTTTCCCTGATAACTTAGTCTCGGTGTTAGCGAACTACGATCACCGACAGATGTACTATATTGGCGGGATTTCGGAGAGCGTGGAGCAAGATGTGAGGCACTCGTACGGCATGGCGTTTGGCGGTGGTGGATTTGCGGTCAGCTATCCGCTGGCGGCGGAGTTGGTCAAAGTTTTGGACGGCTGTCTTGATCGGTACCACACGTTCTACGGCTCTGATCAGAGGGTGTGGGCGTGTGTGAGCGAGATCGGCGTTTCGCTCACCAGAGAACGTGGGTTTCACCAGGTACGTTTTCGTGTTGCGTCGAGATAGGTTTGGTTGTACATGTGTTGCATTGTGGTGTGTCCACGTGGTGGAAGTCCGAGATTTGTGCCTTTCACCGGGACGACGGCACCGGGTGGTTATCCCACCTAACTGGTTTTCTGCCACGTGGAATGTTTGTTGACTGGGCCTCTCTTGCTTTCTACGGTACAACTTTCAAGGACTAGGAGTATTCTATTAGTTTTGTTGGCCCTAAACGTATCATATGTTTGTGACGAACGAGGTTTATAGTTGGGATCTGCCAAAAATATACATAATAATAATATATTTATAGATTATATTATAGAGATTATACATGTGTGTGTATATATCTAAATCAAATTTTGTTACAAAACCGACACCCTATTCTAGTATTTTTATTAATACCATGTGGGACGTTCTCTATTAAGTATAGTTCTTATCAGACACTATTTAAAATAATCACGGAATATTATTTATTGTTGGACAGTATTCATTGGAGTGGCACAAAAAATAAAATAAAATTCTTATTTGTACCATTACTCACACACACACACACACATATATTGGTATTGGTATTGGTATTGGTACTGGAAATGTAGTTTGGTAATTAAGGAAATTAAGCTTTGATGTAGTTCAACTACTTAATTTTACAACTATAGTATTTATCTTAGTATACATAATAATAAATATAATTTTTGCTGTAAAGGCATTCTTATTAATAATCTCGGTCCATGATGGAGAAGAATCACGGAATAATTAGGATAATTTTTAGATGATTTTTTATTTTCTTTTTGTCCTCACTGGGAGACCTGAATACTTTACTTTTAAAAGAGAGGAGATACAACTAGGACATAGACTTTTGCAATGTCTAGCATTATATATATTTTTAATAATATATGTATTATCGGTCCCCTCCTAGTGAGCCAACCAATTTAGGTCTACATAAGATTACAGAAGTTCAACCATAAAGGATATATTTTTGTCAATTTTAGGCAAACAAAACTCATTTCGTTTTGAGGTATACTCTCTCTTCTTTATGCAACTTTAATACAAGCAATTATAGTTTGAAATTTTAAAAGTTGTGGTGCCGCATTTTATGAAATATAATTGAATAAAGTTATTCTTTTGTTGTTGGGTGCAATTAATTAATGTTTGCCATATTATGTATACCACGTGTCCCTATCTCACATGCACTTTTAAGATTTTTATTTTTATTTTTATTTTTTTATACATAGTTTGGTTGGCTAAAGCAAGTCCAAGTGCCCAAAAGGTTAGCTTTTTTATTTTTATTTTGTTATTTACAGTTGAGTCTGGTCTAAACCAAAATGAACGAAATAGTTTGATCAAGTCCTCCTGGCGTGATGTGTGGGTTAAGTTAGAAAGTACGACATGTCATTGATGTTTTTTTTTTGACTTTTACAAAAAACTTGGTCTAGTACTATCTCTGAGGCCGTGTGGGTTAAGATAGAAAAAAATGTTCAATTTTGGTCCTTTTCTATGCAAGAATTTAATTGGGTTGTGCTCAATGATATGGTCACCTTTAATTTTACTATCCATCCAGAGGAATTACAGTATTGGAATTCATATCGTGTCATTTAAAGGAATTGATATCCAGACAATGCTGTAAAAGCCCAAGTTCTAACATTAAGACTTCTGATTCCGTCAATTATGCAAGCGATAAGTGGGGATCCCACTTTCTATATCTTGCCAATCGGCCGTCTTCGCGGAGGATTTTGGTTAGAATCTGTAGGGTGAAGTCGCACTACTCTTATGATGCCCATTACTTTTAACAAATTTGACTCGAGTTTTGGATACTAACGGGCTTGAAAATATGAGTACGAGTAATGTAGATTCATTTATCACTACGAGTTGATTTTAAGGTGGTTTTCTTATATTAGTTTAGTGAGAGATGGTTGTTTATGTTACGATCAAGCCAAGGATAATAAATTTGGGGCATATAGAATTTTTTGAATCACGACCCTCGATAGCTGTGCAGTACAAGACACGCCTTAACTAACTACTAGTACAATAATACTTAATTTTCTAGTTCTAATGTTTAATAAAATCTTCAAGAATGCTAAAGGTCATAGCTAGGTCCAAATTGGCCAGGCTGAAACTTTATTTTATTACATTAAACTGAAGCTTCACAAAGTTAGTTTTGCTTTTTATATTTTTTAATGTATATTTTTTGTATTGTCTGAACCTAAACATATGACACTACAAGATAATATAAATATATCGTGTAAATATATGTTTGCTAACTATTTCTTTATGTTGTGATAATTTGTCAGATTGATGTTAGAGGGGATCCATATGGTCTCTTGGCGGCACACCCATTGACACCACTTGTGTCGCTCCATCACCTTGAATACGTTGAACCGTTGTTCCCAAACCAGACCCGGCTGGAGTCATTAGGGTCTTTGATGCAAGCTTATCGGGTTGACCCTGCCCGAACTGTGCAGCAAAGTTTCTGCTACCATCCAAAGCAAAGTTGGTCAGTGTCCGTCTCATGGGGCTATACAGTTCAGCTATACCCATGGTTGTTGACGGCCAAGGATTTGGAGACACCGTTGGGGACTTTCAAGACATGGCGGAGTTGGCAGGATGGACCTTTCATTTTCAACACTCGGCCCGTGAATCCTGACCCGTGTGACTCGCCGATTATTTACTTTCTGGAGCAGGTCAAGGAGGATGGCAAGGGTTCGACGCTAAGTACTTACAGGAGGCATGTGGCTGAGCCATCAAAGATATGTGATAAAGCACCCTATGCCCCTGCAATGTCTGTGGATACAATTCGGGTCTCGGCATTGAAGATGGACCCAGAAGAATGGAGTGAGGTATCTCTCCCCCTTCCCCCCTATTTGCTATGTCTAGTTTCTTTTCCAAAATCAATTTACACACAAAAATAAAGGGCTAGCGTCCCGGCATTCTGAGGTCCGGAAAGGGTTAGATACACGTAGCCTTGTACACAAGATAAAACACATTATATTACAAAGCTACTAATTGCTTTCCGAATGCTATTTCACTGCCCTCAATTAGAACAATCAGAAAGGTCCACAAAGAAACTATTTGCACTTTCTTTCGAAGCTTCTACGCCCATAATCTTCTTTCTTCTTTTGCTTTTCTCCCTTAAATACTTTAAGTTTGGGAAAGTAGGAGTGTATATTAAATCTCTAGCTTGATTTTTGCTAACTATTGGAATGACAAAACCTATTTAAATGTATGTGCAGGCACCGCGAAGACAGTGTTGTGAGATCAGTAAGAGTTTGACGAACAATGCGATGCGTGTTAAGATTAGACAGTGTAAGCCTCGGGAAACTATCACTTCTTAGAGGTCAGCCCACTCTCATTTCCATGCCATGTAGATATAGTTATACAATAAAATCAGTTTTGAATGAAGTAAGAGCACACTGACTTTTTCTCCCGTCTCTCTATTTGAAGATCATAGACCTCTTTTTTTTTTTTTTTAGAGTGATTTTTGTGGTGCATTTTGAACAGAAGAAAATACACATTCTATTATAACTCCATATGATCTGAAATTTTAGAAAGATTAGAAGTGATAACAAAAGAGAATGAATTGCTGCTACTAAGAAAAATGAACTCGATATCGAATGAACAAGAGGCAATATCTATTCATGGGATGGCTGTTTCATTGGTGTTAGTGATGAAATATATATGTTATGTGGAATTTATTTTTGTGACAGTGACATTGCACGGTGGTGGTGGTCACTGTGACCTCACTAGTCATGGCTGAGTGTTACAAAGGATTCAATTTTACAATCACAAGTGCTTGTTATATGGGATAGTTTATGAGAGTCTTTCCTTCCAGTAAGTGTTATATATTGTTTAGTGGGCATTTCCAAAATGGAGGGACCAAATTGAAAGTAGTGACTGGCTACTTCCATTATCGATGATGGTGTTAAGTGTTACTTCACATCCATCTCCCTCCATTCACACACAGTGCCCTTAGTGGACATCTATGAATTGGTCATAGAGGATCAATCTTTATAATTAATCACCTTGACTTGTAATTTATGGTTTCCTACGCATTGTCTGACCTAATTTTTGACACAGATTAGGTGGCTTCCACCCAATTAAATTAATTGTAAAATAATTTGAGGTTAATCACATTCTTAGTAGAGGCTATTGACATGATTCATTAGTAACAATTGTGACTATTACATTGACTGGTAATTTATGGTTTCCTACGCGTTGTCTGACCTGATTTTCGACACAGATTAGGTGGCTTCCACCCAATTAAATTAATTGTAAAATAATTTGAGGTTAATCACATTCTTAGTAGAGGCTATTGACATTCATTAGTAACAATTGTGACTATTTTCTTCATATAAAACTTGGATCTAATGAGCATTGTCCAAATAACAAGACCATATGGCATCGTTTTATTTGCTGATCTTTTTTTTTTCTTTCTTTCTTTCCAGTAGTTAAGATAACTAGATAAGTTTAATTATTTTAGTTAATTTATAATTAAGCAAAATGAAAACAGAGTTATATTCTTTTATTTTTGTTCAGATATGAACTCTGCAAGTTTTATTAGTTCATACTCTAGTAAACAAAAAGGAAACATAATTGAATAACTGTAAAGTGTGATTTGTTGCATCATATTTTTTGCTTATGCAAGTCTTATTAGTTCATATGAAAAAGGGTAAGAAGGGAACAAAGTGACACAATATTGTTATCTTAATATATAATAATTACATATCATAAACAGTTAATAACAAAATAATTACCAACTCTAAGATTAAAATTGCAGCTGTAACAGATCAGTAATCCTGCTTCCCTCTTTAAGACCATGATAATTACCTGCTCAGGAAGGTAGAAATGAGTTGCTAACTGCAAAGCAATGTCTCTCGTGTATCGTTACCGGTAGTAGGATTTACCCTAACAACAAAGCATTACATATATGAATGAAACTTATAGGAAGAAATATTTGTTACAGTATATATATACAAAGACATATATATCTTACCCGTCAGCAATTTTGCAAAGATATTGCCTCTGATCATCTCTCAAAGGCACATCTGTGAAGTCTAACAATCCAAAAAAAAAATGGATAGTGAGTCATACATGAAGAAATAAACTTGTCACGTAAAAAATGGGAAAAATATATCTTTTGGAGTTGTAATGTGGTTTCTTCAGACGCTAGGGAATGGCATGGAAGACAAAATTGCATTACAAAAGCCAATATGAGTGAGGGAACATTTTGTTATCATGGGATGTTTAGATGCCCATGCAATACAAGGTAAGGCTTAGATCTTCTTACTTCTTCTTGGAGAGATAAACATGAGACCTTTTCCTTACAGAACCACTGTCTTAATTAAATCAGTTTTACACTAATGTTGTGTTTGGGAGCAACGAATTAATTTAGTTGAAAGTTCGATTAAATCCAATCAGGTTCCGATTCGGTGTTCCCAAAGCATAAGATTGATCATTCTAATGCTGAATAGAAAAAGAATAAAGAAAATCTTAAACTCCTTAGTTCAACTGCATGAATGCACTGTTTAGTCTGCTTGACATGTTGTTCCTTTAAGCTTAATCGACTTTCCGACTTGTGAAATAACTTGGTTACATAATGTTCGAATTGAACGTACCTGCTCCTGTTATAACTGATCCCTTGAAAGAGGTGTTGCCTGTGGCAAGTGCTCCTTCCAAGTTAGCATTGCTCAAATTTGCCTGCAGAAAGGAGTTCACAAAAGCACAAGTATATTACCAAACCGGTGCCATAAATGTTAAAAGCTCAGAAAACCTGAATTCTCAGACTCAGTATCAACTGTTATACTAGAAATCACCTTTGTCACATTTGCCAGGGAAAAGTCTGCGCCTCTGAGATCAGCATCAGAAAGATCAGCCCCTGAATTAGTTTCTTAATTGAATTACGAAAGGTCTAATGATATGTTTAACAGAATGAGAGAACCAGAATGAGCTGACACAAATGTTCTATTTGGTTGTTCAATTAGACAAACAAAACCCAGGAGATTATATCACATTACAAACTAATTGTTGCCTGGCATGTTCTTTCTACATTAACAACCCAAAAGAAACAAGAAATTATTGCATAAACATGAAATTCCTGAGCTTATTACCTGTTCATTTCTTAAACTACTAACCATAGACAGGCACGGATGAACTTAGTATACTCTTCCTGTCTCTTTTTTCACTTAAACATGAAATTTACGCGAAGCAAAGTCAAAAGGATTCCATGTCCATGGCTTAAGAATATACAAGGATCAAAGGACACACTGTTAATATTGCTTCTCAGATAAAACACTAAACAAATTTGCATCCTCATAGAGATACGAGATCTTCCTAATAATTGAGTTTATCATAAACAGTTTCTTCAAATAACCAAGTTCCTTTATGTTTCTCTTAGTTCTTTAATTTCGTCTTCTTTTTCTTGATCAGTATATAAACACTTTCATATCTTGTATATGATATAGTAGAATCACCCGTAATACAAACTACTAAGACAATTTTGATGATCTTTCAGCAGAAAACTTCACTGCTACTCAGCATGTACTAAATCAGAGTCATTGAAAAAAAAAACAAGCAGCACCTCGAAGGAACATAAATGCATTTAACACTATTTCAATCTCCAGGCCCACCAACCGCAAGATGACTCAAACCATTTACATTATCCAAAGTTTTGGGGCTTTACTTATGTTTATCGATTGAATTTAAATTATCATATCAATTATATATAAGAATTGGTAAATGGATGGTGAAACAAAAATTTTACACACAAAGTGCTAAAATCACATTATGTGGGGACCAAAATAAAAAAAGGTAAATTCATTGAGCAAGTTATTCTCTAATGACTTTTCATTTTTGAGGCACATGACTAGGGTTTTAGCTTAAATTTTTAAAAATGTGACCCAGAAAACAGCAAAAATGCATTTTAATTAAATCTGGTTAAACAGTTAATGTTAGACTTCTGACAATAGTAGGACATTTTAAGGATGCTAGCAAAGAATTTTGTCCTAGTAATGGTGTATTAAACATAAAGCTTATAACTAATGGTCTCCTAACTAAAAGGAAGAGTACCAGACAGTATTGTGGGGTTGGGTAGCATATCATTGAAGGTCATATTGATATAGCCTTAAGTATTAGACTTGGTGCATAAAAGGGCCTATTTTAAGATAATTGGGTCCTAAGATAAAGAAGTTTTTTATTTACTTTATTTTTTTGGCAACAAACTCGCAAATACATTTGCCACTATAATCATTTGTCCTCACGGGAACTTGAACCATTACTATAGAGAATACCACTAGACTACGTGGTGGTCTAAGATGAAGTATTGACCCAACACCAGAAATCCCATTTTCATGAGTCCAAGCTGCATTTGCAACACAAATATAGCAATTGAAGGTGTGCGCTCATCAATTATAAGTTCATATACTGTATGAGAAAGAAATGAGAAAATAAATAAATAAATAAACCTGTTAAATCAGCATCGAAGAAGCTAGCTCCTAATAACTTTGCACCTTTGAAATTAGCTTGCCTCAATATTGACTGAAACAACACAGACAAACTCAGCAATTCAACTATAGTAAATCAACAAGAAGTTGTAGTGCATACATTTCACATACATGTGTGTGTGTGTGTGTGTGTGTAAATTGTACCGTTTTGAAGTCTTGCTTGATCAAGCTTTTCCCACTAAAATCTTTCCCAGTGAGATCCTGACCCCTCGTCACTCCAGCACCGTATGGACCTCCACCCTTTCCACATTATCAGAACCCATCAATAAAAATAATTCCACATAAATAAAAAAAAAACCCTCGGAACATTATACAATACCATAAAATCAAAATCATATATCTTATTACCCATATTAAAAAATTAATAATGCTACTACATTTGGGAGCTAATGTGCGCTTGAAATGGAGAAAATTTACTTCAAAGTTTCAACTAATTTTTTTTCCAATTCCAATTCCAAATCCCAGATTTGGTGTTCCCGACACAACATAAATGTTTTAAGTGAAATTTTAACAGATCTAAGTTCGCAATTAATAAAAATTAAAGAGATTAATTACCTTAAACGCAAGTGCAGGATCTGCAAAACAGAGCGAAGCTGAGATTAGAGCAAGAAAGCTTGCTTTAGCCACCGATTCACCTAAAGAAAGAATGAGATTTTGGGGAGGTCCAATCTGGTTGAGTCCCTGTAAAAAAATATTGTATGGGCAGAATTGGCTAAGATGCGCGGAGTGTGGTTTATAAGAGTTGTAGAAGTGAGAATAATGAAAGGATTAAATGATCGAGTGAGAAGTGAGAGTCCTGTACCTGAGGCGTGCGATAGCAGAGAGAGGACTGTGGGGTTACTGAGAGGAGGAGAGGTTTGTGGAAGGAGAGTGGAGGTTTTGGATTTGGAGGGAGTGTGGAAGAACAGAAGGAGACGTTGAGAACAGCCATTGTGAAAGTAAAGCGTTTTTTGTGTTGGGGATCTTTATGGATAACATATTATCCATATATACCTATACAGTTATGTATATATATGCACGTTACACAATAATGGAGTATATGAAATTATTTTATATATATATATATATATAAATAAATGAAAATTCAAAAGTTTGTGACACCTACCTACTGGAGGAGAACAAGGGTCCTCTGTCATCTTAAAGTAGGTTGTGAAAGTTCAAGCCTCTGAAAAAAAAAAAATAAAGTGGGTGTGGGTGAAACTAATAAAGTGAGAGACTCACAGAAGAAACTACTAGGTAAACTAATTTAAATCCAAACTTTTCAATTAAGAAAATAATTCCACAAGAATTTGTTAATTTATTATAAAAAATTCTCACCACTAGTTTTTATTGAATTAATTCACGAAGTATCAAATAGTCATGAAACATTGAATAATTTCTTAAGTTTACAATACTATAGTACCCGACTAATGAACAATTATTATTTTCTCTTGAAAACTATCCATTTCTATATTATAAAAGCAAATAGAGAGTTTCACTACATTTCTCTGTTATCAAGGAAATGAATTTTTTTTATATGACCGTCCATTATTAGGCACGGAACTGCATGTAGGTATCTATAAATAGGAGTGGCAAAAGTTGACATGACCCGTCAGTACGACTCGAACACGATACGAGTTAAATGGGTTTGGATTGATCTTAAACGGGTTCGGGTCATAAACGGGTTGATACGATTAACCCGTTTAGTTAATCGTGTCGTGTTTGGGTTAAGGGGTTCAACCTGTATAACCCGTTTATACACGTTTAATTATATATGTCGTAAATAAATTTATATTTAAATTCTAAAAATATTATATAAACTTGTGTCTTATAATTTAATCTTTTGTAAATTATAAACTATTTAGTAATTTGGTTGATTAAAAGTTATATTTTTTTTTAATATTTATTATTTTATTGAGTATTATTACTAATTTAAATAATATAATTTTTTTTTTTTTGTAAATAGGTCATTACATGGGTTACACGTGTAACCCGTTTAATAAACAGGTCGTGTTAGTTTTAAAAGTTCCTGACACGATTATTAAATGGGTCATGTTCGGGTTGACCTACGTGCAACCCATTTAATGACCAGGTCGTGTTTGTTTTAAAAGTTCCTGACACAATTATTAACGGGTCGTGCTCGGGTTGACCTATTTAGTATAATTTCCTTGACACGACACGATTACGATTCGCGAAAACGAATTGCCACCCTTATCTATAAATGACAAGGCTCCTCTTGAATGCAAAGGCCTCCCATTCTCCTCGTTCCATGAACTCGAGTCAATTCAACAAAGTCCTTTTACTGATTATTATACTGTTAAATTAGTGCCTTTTAGTAAAAAAATAAAAAAAAGAAGAAAAAATTGCTTGTATCTTATTTATTGTTATTAACATTCCTTTATTGAATATTATGTTTTAACAAACAAAATAAGAGTTGAGTCATATTATATAATTTGCAAGGATAAATTTTATAATAAATCACAATAAATATGTATAAACAAATTTAAACTTACGGATACGCTTAGAAAGTATTATTCACGAATATCAATATTTAATACAAATACGATATGAGTATGTCACTTTTGTAGGAATATCTATTTTTTCCATCTTTGAAACTTTTATTGTCATGTTTGGCATTTGGTTTGACAAATTAAAAAAAACTTTTGATTTGGAAATACTACTTATGCTATATGTTTGGGAGAACTCAATCATTGGCTTGGGTTTGAAAATAAATTCTTTTTAGTTAAAATTTTGAAGTAAATTTGTTCCAATTTTAAATTTAAATTGTCTATTCGATATTCCCAAAGCAAGGTTGATTTAGTACGGTAGAAATACAGTTTTGCATTTAAGATTTTTGGCACAAGTTAAAATTTTATTGAAAGCGTTCATTTAAAAATATATATAATTATGAAAACTACTTTTTATATATATAACATTTTTCCTAACTACTTTAAAATTCATGAAAAATACAAAATATGGTACACGTGCAGTAAAGTGGTACGTTCTTGAACAAAATGTGATATGCTAAGTAGTTGCGTCTAACATTGACTATCATCTTTTATGGACCATGGGTAAACAACAAAGAAAATCACAAACATATAGTTATGACAAACACACCGAACTCAAAATAAAATCAAGAATCACAACAAAAAAAATAAACACAATATATAAAGAATACAAAAATTTATATGTGGTTTAGCAATAACCTACGTCCATAGTCGAGATCCGGCAAAAATTTTCATTATACATAAAATCATCAGAGATTACCAGTTTTCAGCTCCTCATTCTGTTTCTATACAAATTTCAGAGTCTCTCTCTTACACCACTCCAAACCCTGAGCGTTTTTATATATTGAGTTACAAGAGACTAATTATGGTACACGACCCATGAACAAAAAATGGGTCAAAAAATTTTCTTGGGAGTAAGATTTCGAACCCCCAAAGCTTTGGTGGGCTTGGGTCCACACAAAGTTCATCCAACGGGTCGTCGGGTCATAAGCGAGTCGCGTTGACTCGGCACCAAATTCGAGCCACAACATTATCACATATAGTTTAAAAAATCTAAATTGAGAAATTCTTAAATTTTAAGGAGACAGAAATTAAATTTATTTTCAAACTATATATTTTGGGTCAATATATTAGTGTTTTGGAAAAAATTGGGGGGATCCATTGAAAATTTTAACAAATTTTAGGAACAATATCTTAAAAGTGAGTAATATTTTGTGGGTATAAATACAATTTCATAGAAATTTGAGAGGGCCATGGCCGTTGCTTAGCTTCACCAGTTCTCGACTGTGGCCTAGATTAAGGTCATTTATTTAAGAAATGTTTGTGGATAGAATATAAAGTGAGGCTTACCTGGGGCTGCAACTTGGGCGGGCCCAACCTGAAATAATCCGAACCCAGCTCAAAATTTTGTGGGCTTGGGCAATGTTTTTTTAATTTCGATTTGGATCTGGACTATATATTTTGAGCCCAAATTCAATTCGGGCTGGGCTTGGGATTAGATGGATGAAGCCCGAAACCCAACCCGAGTCCGAAAATATTATATATATTTATAATTGTATCTAAGTTATTAGAGTGTGGTAGTCAAGTTAGTAATGTGTTTTGAATTAAGTTTAAGGTTTTAGGTTCAAGTCATGTGTGCAGTATTAATTGATTTATTTTTTATACATCCCGAGATGAGTGCCAAACCGGCCGAATTGCAGCCCTAGGTTTACCTCTTGAATCATTTGATCACAGTGAAGAAGTGGAAAAAACTTGTTTAAATTTGATATATTGGTAATTTGAATTTCACACAAGTTTGGGTATGAAAAAAGGGTGCACTTAAAATTTCAATGTGTCCAGAGTCGACTTGATATGGTTGGAGATCTAAAGCGAAATGTTTAAACTAGGCGAGCCTTCTCATATTAAATATATTCTGAGAAAAAAATAAATAATTTTTTTTATACAATACAAATAATTTTATTTACAAATTATTTCCTCTACTTGTAATAAGCTCAAGGATATATGAAAATACATTTTTAGCTTAAGAGAATTATTTACTTGAGTAGGCAACTGATGTGAGAATCCATAAATTATAAAGTCCAAAACAAATATAATGTTCAACAAATATTAATATTAAGAGAATTTTAAAATTAGAAGAAATACAAAAGGCGTGAACTTGTTAGAAAGAAAAAAATAAATAAATAATGTACTGTAAGCTTGGAGTTCCCATTAATTTGTACAAAAACCCATTGACATTTAAATTATTTTCCTTATTAGTCATAAAAGTCAATTTCAGTATAGGAACCAGTGAAAAAACTTTTATTTTTTTTAGGAGTTTTTGTTATTAGATTGAGTAAGAGACCTCTTCATATTTAATCACACAATTGAGATAAATTTTTAAGATTTATAAAAAATCAAATGTATTACTCCATATTTGTTAATCTAAAAAAATTGACATTCGTGCATGTTAAATATGAGGGGCTTAAAGCATCTCCAATGGAGTTGCCATATGAACTGCCAATTTAAAATATAGCAGCTAGGTTAAAATTGAGCTCTCTAATGGACTGATATATTATTGGTTGCCAAAATTTACCTTTGTCATTTTTGCGCCAAATCTAAAAAAACAAATAGCAATAGCTATTTCTATATTTTGTGCTAATTCTAATAGAAATATATGAGTTTTGAGCTTTTGATTACAAAACTAGAATTACAGACCTTGATATATATATATGCATACATAAAATCAAGAATTATAGACCTCGATTAGTTTCTTTAGAAAAAAATTAAAACAAAACACATACATACAAGTTAGCACGGGGGGGGGGGGGGGGGCGCAGTTAAGAGACAGCGGCTGAAGCTTGCGAACGGCGAACCCGAACTGGAACAACGGGCGATGGAAACTAAAAGATATGGGATTTGATTTTTTGAACAATCTACCGATATGGGTTTTGATAATAGGTTTTAAACTTTGGATTCTTGTAGACAGATAGATAAACTGAAATACATGGGTTTTGAACTTCTGATTCTTGTAAATTTTGTAGTTTGTAGTTGCAGAGAGAGAGAGAGAGACAGAGGGGAAGTTCTTAGAGTCGAGAACGAGAATAGAGATGGAGGCGATTGGGGAGGCTAAGATGATTTTGCCCTAAAAATATATATGTTTTTAATATTAATATAATCAAATATATATAATATACATATACATATATATAATATATATAAATTTTCAAAAAAGAAAAAATATATATTATATAAAAAAAATTAATTCACAAATAGTGGTGAAAAAATAATAATAATTTTTTTTTTTTTTGGTTTTTGGTTCTTTTTTGACAAGATATTTTAAATATTTGCTTCTTTTTAATTAGGTTTAATTTTAGTTTCCTTTTAATGTCTATAACTTGACTTGAAATGTACCTAATATTAATTTTATTGATACAAATATGAATGGTGGGAATGGTAGTTGAAAAAGAATGGTGGTTGTGTCAAAAAAATAGCATTTCACATGAAATGCACCATTAGTGTAGAATTATTAAAATATAACATTTTGACACTGTAGCACCAATTAAAATATAAATTTGACATGCGAAAATAACTTTTAACATTGGAGATAGTCTTATAAGAATTCCCTTCAAAGTGGTACTATTCTATTTGATTTTATTTGATGTTGTCACACACACACACACATATATATATATACATATATATTTTGGTCCTGAAAAACACCATATGATAAGCATATAAAATGTATAACTCCCAATGCGTTCAGAAAAAATCCCTAACATTCAATTTTTTAGCAAATAAGGACTTGAATATTGAAAAGATAAAAGTGTCCTTCTATAATCGAATAAAAAAAAGATAAAAAAGTTATGAAATGACTACAGTATCCCTCTATTATTATTATTATTTTTTTCTTCTTCTTATATATTAAGGTGTTATTGGAAGAGAAAAGATTTTTTTTTTGAAATTTTATATCTTAAAAATAATATCATGTAAATTGCCCATGATTAAATTTGTTACAAAATAGTGCCTTATTTGATTATTTTTCAAACTTAACCAAAAAAATGACTATATTTGTCCAAAATTTAAGCATTAGGAGTTTTTCTCCCCCATTATTTTTTTAGCACGTCATATTCAAATAATTAAAAAAAAAAAAATTGTAGAACGAAAATCAAATGCTCCGTAAAAAATCTCTCCGGGGATATTTTGTCCTATAATATCATTTCGTCCACTCGTTTAGGACCTGTTTATATACTGCAACCAGAGACTCTCTCTCTCTAGCCAGCAACGATCGTCAATGTTTTGCCATCGTTTCATCCAGGTCTTTCTAGCTCCTTACTTTCTCTCCTTTCACATCTTTGTTTTAAGCACACACGGGGATATTTATATATATACACACACATTGTCACACACATACACTCATAAATATTACATATATAGACGTAAACACACTCGTATTCTTCGCTGCCCTTTACTTGAATGAGAGATTGGGGAAATCCCATTTGGGTAAAACCTTATGCTATTAACTTTCCGAAGAGTGTAACTTTGGTTGCATTTTGCAATCAGTATAACCAGCTTTGATTCCTCCGAGTTTACAAAGACAATTAAGTTATTGAAAACGTTGATGTGATTTGTTTGGTTGCTGAGAAACTGTGGGATAGGATTCCTTGACTCTCTTTTTAATTCAACTATTTGGCTTAGTTCAGCTGAGAGATGAGTTTTTTTTTTTTTTTTTTTGGTGTGTGTTTGTGCATGAAACGATGCAAAACATAAGCTTTATCATCTTGTTTGACCAGTTTTATCTGCAAACCAACGCAGGGTTGGTAATTGAAAGTGATTTTTAGCTGTTATTTTTTTTCCCCGGTAATTAAAATTGTTAGGCTAATTATCCCCAAAAAATAATTGTAAATGGTGATTTTCAACATTTTATTTGTGTAACTAGATATTGAAATTTACATTTTTGGCTCTTTTTCTTAAAAGGCTGAGGCAATGGTTGCTGCTTGGATAAGTATGGCAGCAGAAATTTTACAAGTATGTTCCTTCAATGGGCTCTATATTTTTCCATATTATTTTTAATGAAAAATTAGGGGTACTGGTTCAGTAATACTATTCTTTACTTTGCTTCCATGGTGACAAGGTTCTTGAAGGCAAATTTTATTTCTGCCAAGAACTTCATCAAGTTGGGGAAATTGTTTGCTTTGGGGCACACTTCATGCTCAAACCCTATCAGTGAGTTTTTTTTATAGGGATACTGTATCGAGATTTTCACTGTTAAGAAGTGTTGTAGTTGTGGGGGCATAAGTAATTCAGTAGATGATATAAGTGAGACTCAAATTTCTGTTGAAAAGGTTCTAAATATTTACTGCATCCCATTAATTCAGGAAGTTGCAGCTGCTGAACTTCTGAAGGGGTTCAGGAGAAAATTTCAAATCGCATAGATGGTTTAAAAACTGAACTGTGTTTCAATATTGGGCTTGAATAGGGGCTTTCAAGTGAAAAGCTCTTGGTCCTTAATTGGCTTCTAAGACAAACCTATGAGCCCAATAATTTGGGGACTAAGAGCTTTCTTGATAAAGAAAGGAATGACCCGAGTGTGTTTATAAAGAAAGCTCTTAGTCCCCAAGTGTACATTGAAACAAGTGTATTTCCAGAGGCATTTCCCTTCACTCCAGGCATTGTCCTTTTGGTTTTGAAATAGCAGCCAAGTTCAAAATTCCTCTGGAAGTTCTCTTGTTTCAAAGGATGTAAACTTGGCTGCTATTTCAAAACCAAATGTTGCCTTGACTTCAGAGGAAGGCAGCAATGGGGACAGAGAAATGTCTGTGGTTTTTTGTGTAGCTGGTTTTGGACCGTGGAATGTTACAATGACATACCTTCTTAATGAAGCCATCTCTTTGCATGAATTCCGCGGGATTGTGTTTGTCTGAGGTTTTTCTTGTGCTTGATTCTGGAAATGGGTGGTTGTCTTTTTTATACTGTTCAATCAGCCTCTTCTAAATTTATTTCAAGAATTTTATGAGTGGATAGACACTTATATAGTCTTGGTGATTGCAACAGATGCCAACTTATGGCTCTATTGGGTGGGTTGCAGGCCCTCAAGTTGGAGGTATGCTCAGTGTTAGTAGGGACCTATCACACCTAAGGTTTATTTGCAATGAATCAGAACAGTTTGAATGCCGCTGCACAAGTGTGACAGTTAAGTATTTTCCAACTATAATGTTCAAAGGAATGGAGGGTAGTAGGTTGGATGTGTGAGGCCCTCGTGGTGAGGGAATAACATTTTTCTCTAAAGATGGAGTTCTGGATCGTATGTTTGAATCAAACTTGGCACCACTAAGATATTGTGACTATAATGAGAGAGCAACCGAAATTTACCCTTTCAATTGCAATGACTCTCCCTTGGGGGTGGCAGAAATTTTTCTCCAGATGGCAGACATCTTACCATGATGCCAACCAGAGCGTTGCTTCTTGATGTGGCAATTCCCTTGGCAACCGAAGCACTGGAATATCAAATATGGACAAGAAAGGCCCTATTCCATGGTTGCAGATGTTTTTAAATGCCAGAGTGGTGCACTTTAAAAAGGTTTGTTGCATTGCCATTAATTTTAATGACTGTTATGCTTGACAGCCAACTGCTCATGTAACCTCTTGTTTCTAATGAACAGAAGTCCGATAGCTTGAGAGGCATGGTTCTTCTATTACTGGGGAGGCTCAGAAGGCTGTTGAAGGTAAGATGTTGACCCAGTTTTGCAGTTTTAGCTTTATTGAGGCCTCCATTGCTTGAAAGCTTTTGAAGGCGAGGCTGTGTATTTGTGTCATCCTTAATTTATTTGCCATGAATACAGACAATATTTTTATTTCAAGTCCCATTTCGTTCTCTTCATATATGTTTTTTTTTTTTCTCCCTTTCTGTAACTCAATGCACTACATACGAAGAACTTTTATACTTCTATACAGATTGTCTTAATTACTCTTGTTCTTTGACAGTTTGATCGGAATAAGGTGTTAGTTTAGAGGCGATCAATACTAATGCATGGTGAATTGTTAATATGAGCATAATCTGATCCATAATGAGTAAAATGTCTACCTGAGAAGGCATATCATGTAGTAGTCTAATCAATCCATATATAAATCATTAACCATCCATTTGAAAGGAAGTCATATAGTTAATTTATGGAAGTAATCAAATATAATACTAGATAACACTATGATTTCTTGTACAATGAGCTTGTTTTGCTGAAACGTAGCATAGTTTTTGAGACATGGTTGATCAATAGATATACAGAATGATAAATAATAACAAAAACTGAGATTTCCCATACAATGGATTTTACTTTGCCGGGGTATTTTTTTGACATTATTGATCAATAATTAATTTATATTTTTACTTTAGTAAGTAAATTATATGCAAAGAAGACCTTTTAAGTGCGCCGGTTAGGAAAAGTGACATAGTCCACATTGAGGGTGATAATAGGGGAAGACGAAGACCAAAGTTAACTTGGGGAGATTAGTAAAGAAAAATATGATAGTATGTGGATTGACTGAAGCTATGGTCTTAAATAGAGCGGAATGGAAACATAGAATTCATGTAGCCGATGTTGTTGTTGTTGTAAATTATATATATGTATTTTTTTATGCTTGTATGTATTTGCCTTCTACTGTCTTAATTGATCATAATTTAATGCATGGGAGAAGTCAGAACTTTTAAAAGACAAGGATGATTATATCAAAAGTTAAATCTAGCATATGCCACAAAGGCTACATATCTGGAAGAAGGGCGGGGGGTTGGGGAATACCATGTTCATCTACATAGCACAAAACTTGTTTCTGTCTGGAAACAGAAGAGACCTTATATTACATAAGCTTGTCCTGCTACAAAAGCTAATCCCTATGCCAGCTTCGACATCTTCATATAAAGATGTTGCTTCCGTTGTCCGTCGAAGGAAAGCTCAGAAGAATATCTTGATCTATTGCTTCTAAGAGTCTCTCCCAGGGGTTTGAATCATGAGAGAGAAAGGTTTTGTCCTCCCATCCATTTACAGAAGGGAACTGTATGGTCATTAGGCTATCAAAAGCCTGGTTTGCTGTTGTATTTCCTGTATGGGGAAATAATGGAGTTTGTTGATTCAGATAATTTTGTATGTTAATGTCATTAAGCTGAGAAGGGTATTGTAACCCATTATTCAGATTATTAGTTGCTGGAAGGCTTCCACAACTAGAAACATCAACAGCGAGATTGGCCATCTGATTCCCGAGAATTTCTATCTCCTCTTGTAGGCTTGCCACCTGCAAGGTATAGGAGCCATCAAGGAAGACATTCAAATTTTATTGAGATTGAACAGGTGATGAGAGATTATAGCATGAAACCTGTTGTTGGAGTGCTAGGATATGAGCAACACAACCATATATAGGATCCCGCATACGAGCCAATGCTTCATAAGATATTGTTATTGCAGCTTCACTTCGGTGTTGCATGGGAAGGTGTGACAATAGCTTGGAGACGTTGCTTGCACCGAACACCTTATGCACTGCTGCAAAGTGGGTTGCAGCCTCATCGTAGCCGAAGTAAGGAGCAAATACACATTCGCTTGTGCACTTTCTCCTCAGAAACTTGCACGCTCCACATGAAGAGCTAAGCCCCGTCATTGACCTAAGCATTTACTTATCTGTTTCAATGGTTTACCTCTAATTCTAAAACTTGGTTTGGTTTGTTTATAAACAATTAGTTGAGATTTACTCTTTATATCTGCCACTTAAGAGGCTCAATGGTTTTTTTTACTGTGGCCAAGGGACATGGTCACTTTTGTTAAAAGGAGATTCTTTTAGGTCTCCTTTGTGGCCAACATTGTCATTATCAAATTGGGTAACCTTTCCCAATTAATGCCTTAAAAGTGTCTTATTCATTGTAATTCTTCGCAAACAGGACAAGTTGACGGGAGACCTTCTCATCATTCAATATGTTGGGCTCTAAAAGGGAGAAATAATTGCTGATGAGTATTCTAAATTATCTGTTGTCATGTAGGCAAGTACGATAGATGCTTAACCTTTTCTGTTTAGCAATTATGACAAGTTCATCTTGCCAGCACTAGAATAATTGTAATAGAAATTAAATAAATCATCTTTGCACATTGAAATTCTATGGTAGATGAAAGCTAAAATTAATTGATACTTTATGGAAGTACTTGTTGATTTGGCTACTAGCATCTTGGCTTATTACAATGCATGTTGATGCGTCACTGCATTCTGTAATTAATATTCTGTTTTATGTGGGAATATTACTGTAAACCCCACTTAAATTAACGTGTGCGATGCAGATCATCCTCCCCAGTTCGATCCACTTTATGCACAGTCACATCTTCTGTAAGAACCATGAATTATTAGGTCTTTGCTCAGCATCTTTACATAAAATCATTGCTATTAGTAATCATTGTGCCAGAAATTGAATGGATAAGATTATGTAGTGCTTGTTGCACATGTTTTGTAAGTAATCATATGACATGCCAGTAAATTTTGAACTGTAAAACCTTATAGGCTGTGTTTTATATGCAAGTTTCGTAGATTAGGGATTGGATGTAGAGTGCATGACTCATAACTGCGCTTTGTCTGTACGTGTTCATTCTCTATGATTATGCATATTTTAACTAGAAAAAATTTAATTAGGGTTGGGCTGTTTGCCACTTTATATTGAGTCAGTGGTGATGACCATGGACCCCCTCCTTGTCTTCCCTTGCATTCATTTTCGTCTCGATACCAAGAGAGAGTGTGACAGTAGCTATCAGGCACAGTTGAAAGTTGTTTAAACTATTGGTTATTGATGCTTCAAAGCTCCAGAAATAAAGAAAGAGAGAGAAAGATGGGGGACAAAATGCCATTTTCGCATTACTTTCCGTCTATTTGAATGCGTAAAGTTGTAAAGTTTTTGATTGTGATTTAAATATATGCATGAGAATGGAAGAATGTGTTATGGGGATGGTGGAGAGGAGACTATACACTTTCGAGTTAAACGATGAAAGTGTCTTTCTCTATCATGCATTAATGATGCCTTCTCCACATATGCTATGGTAGGCTGTCTCGGTAGCTCACGCACGTGTCCTGCTCTTATTGTAGTTTGTGTTGATCCTAGGAGAGTGTAGCATGGTTCGTTGTATCAGCCATGACCATTTTTCAAGGGTTCGATATCGTTATACACTTTCATAACCCGGCCGGTTCGGTCAGTTTATATCAATATTCCTTTGAGTCCGTTATACCGTGATCGTGATAGATACCGCGACTACAACCATGATTTGTAGATGAACCTTATGCAATTGTTTTTTTCCAGGATAACTATGTTCACACAGGTGAAATAGTCAAGGTAGCAGATTATTGTTGGTATTTGGTATGCCTAACTTTGAATTTTACTGCCTCTTGAAATGAGGATGGTTGATTTTTGTGTAAAACATATGACGACCCCCCAACCCACTTCCATTTGTCCTTTATTGTGGTGGAACCTGACATTAACCCTCCTGAAGTGCTAATCCCCAACACAAATCCCTTCATCTACAATTGATCCATCATCTTTGCTTTAATTTCATATAGATGGGTCGGTCGTATCCCATACAGATAGATTGGTTACATAATTTTTGTTTTTTTTTTTTACGTTCTTTCTTATTATATACCATGTCTTTTCTTAGATCGTTCTTTATTGCTTCATCCTAGGAAGTTCTGGTCGATCTCTTTGTCGTTTATTTTTTAAGCAAACAACTCTCTCTCTTGTAATCGGTGCATCATTTGGTCCATGTTGAGTGTAACCGCACCACAAAAATTGTAATTCTATCCAAATTCGAGCTTGTCAATTGGAAATTTTATCAACAGTCAACAAGAAAATAGACTAAGATGGTGGCCAATAAACACTTTTTATGCTCCAGTGAGAAGCAAGTGAGCAACAATGTTCCAAGACGGAGGTTTTGTAGGGATGATGAAAAAGGCTTGGGGAAAAAAAATTAATGGGTTGAGATGGTATGAAGTGCTATTAAACAGAAACATATAACTAAAAGTAATGTAAAAGACATGCAAAGCGAACGGTTACCGAAGAACAAAATAATATATATATATTTTTTTCCCTGACAATTTAAAGACTCAAATAACAAAACAAGAGTGTGTCATTTGCTTTTGGTCGAAGCTTTTTATAGGTAGGTGAGAACTCTTTTTCGTTTCTTTTTCTTTTTATTTTTTATTTTTAATACATGTACTCATTTTCTTTTGTTTTCTTTTTCTTAATTTAAATGACAAAAATACCCTTGATACCTATTATCTTGTTTATTAGTTAGGGATATTTATGTTATTCATATTAAAAGTCGAGTAGCTTCATATTACGAGTCTAAAATTATATGTTTTTATTTTTTTATAATCATTTAATGTTCTTAAATAAAATTAATAATCCCAAAATATACTTATTGTAAAAATGTCTTTTCAGGAGAAAAAGTGATTTTGTCTCCCTTTTTATTTTTAACACATCAGAATGGATAAAATTTACTTTTTGATCATTTGATTATGGTACTTTTTGATCATTGATTATTATACTGTAATTTCTGCAGTTCGATCGTTGAAGTTCAAGTTAGCTTTTAAGCAGACTAGACAATTATTTTGGATATTCTCTGTTTATTCTTCGTCTATCTTCTTGTACATTATTTGCTTTTTATATAGATTTTCATCTTTAGATGATAATTGATTGCGGAAGGGATGGCCATTTTGGAGGTTCCATGTTTTCAAGAATAACTGAGGCTGTGATTTGCCTGGATCGTAGTCGTCCGTGTGCTCGCGTATGTACAACACGGGTTTCTATGATGTGTTTAGTACACCGAACACATCAAATACCTGCTCCTTGTAGAAGGGATCTTCAGTAATGTATTGTTAGTGCAATGCACTATATTGTAATACAATAATTTGATGACAAAATACAACACTATAAAATAAGGGACAAAATTATAGTTGTTGCATAAGTTGTGTAAAATTATTTCTTAAGCAATATAAAGTGAAAAAATTGACACAGAATAGAGACAGAGCAGAATAGGATTCGGATTTGTATAGCAAAGATGGAAGTTGTCTTAAACAGAGCATTACTAAATAATTCATTATTTAGTGCTTAATTAATTCAATTTCCCTCAATGTAGAGTATTAGGAGGGACTAGGGATGTCAATTTGACCCAACCATTACCCGTTCCATCATGTATCTTTATTTCATTAGTATATATATTTTTCATTAAAAATTCTCGTAGTTTTTTTTTTTTTTTAGGGTATGGTAGAAACCCTATGAGCATTATTATTTTATCTATATAACAATATTAAAGTAATAAATGAATTTGATTATAAGGAAAGTTGCAATAATAAAGAACTGAAAATGAGGGAAAAAAAATAATAAATTTATTTCAAAAATAAATAGATTATGGTCTTAAAGGGGATGGGGCGGGGTGGGTACCCACAGGGATAAAAATGTTAAACGAGGGCAGAGATGGAGTGGAAAGTCCCTTCGTTTTTGTGGTTTTGGACTGGGACAGGGGATGGTACACCTGCCCAAACTCGCCCCCGTTGCCATTCCTAAGAGGGACAAACTCGTAGAGATCTAAAATTTTCACATTATTTACATAAAGTAACTAAGTAACCTATCTTCTTAAAGTGAACCAATTTTTTCATAGTTCTACCCTTCAATGCAATTTTATTTCCATGTGAACTTAATGTGTGTTGCGCAATTCGGAATGAATGTATGGATGTTTGTATTAAAATTAACTTAAGGTGGTGAATATGTTTTATTTGATTTTTTATTTAATTTTTATTTATTTTAATTTTACTGAAATTAAATAAAAATTAAATTCACAAAACAACAATAAAGTGCAAGTTGAACAAATAAAGTTTTAGAAATGATATCGAGATTTTTAGCGAAGAAACCCCGATTGGAAGAATATACCAATCATTTTGGAAAAAATCTTGAGGATTTATGTTGTCTCTACTATATTTGAAGTAAAGTAAAGCTAACTTTGATTCAGACTTACATCCTATCGTTTTACGAAAAAATTAATTGCTAACAATCTTTGGCCTTGCGACTTTCCTATCCAACAGTTCTTGACCTTAGGTTTATTCTTGATCTTTGTAGAAGGATCGCTGGTGGATTAACCTATATTCTACGAATTTTTTGATCCCTTCAAAGTGTGACCGCTCCATCCCTTTTCTTCAAATCAGAAGATAAAACGAAATTCTGCTTTTTAATAAAGAGAGAAAGAGAGTTTATATGGAATTAAAGAGTCCTACAAGTTTGGGTAAATAAGGAAACTAAAAAGTTACAAAAATTGAATTTTTGCACATTCAGAAAAATGCCTACGGTTCGACTTCAAAGTGCATTCGGTTGGAAAGTGCAACTGGTTCCACGTGGAAAAGCAACAGGTTCCAAAAATCTAGAGAGTTGTTTTTGCTCAAAAAATGCAACCAGTTCTAAGGTGAGGTATAACCGGCTGGACTTTGCTAAATACTATATTTCCAATCTAAGCTCTCATAACCAACTTAAAAAAAACTCACTAGTGTTCCTCACTCACATACCTGTTCTAAATGATGTTCTTGTTGATCTGAAGTATGCTTGAACATTGCAATATTTGTAGTTTCGTTTCTCAAGACTCATAAATAAATAGAAAATTATAACTCGATCAGACACGTTTTGATACTAAAATTTGTCAATTACAAAATTTTTATGTCACACTTAAAAGAAGATATTAATTATACCTAGTTGGTTCACCATTTTTTCTACATTAGAGAAAAGAATTCCAAATCAAATTTTTTTTTTTTTTTCCAATAAGTATGCAAATCCAAATATGACGAAAAAAGTCATAATATTATACAACAGTGCTCATTTCAAAGAATGAAAGGGGTGTGGCGTAATTGCCAGTGATATGGCATGTGGTGTTGGGGCCTTTGGCCCAAGTTCAAATCCGCACCCCCATCAACGTGCTAACAAGCTAGCATACCGACTTTCTTGCCTTGCCAAAATAAAAAAAATAAAAAAAGAATAAAAAAAAATAATAATTACAAACTTTTGAAAAGTCAATTGTTTTATCTCATATTTTTTATTTTTATTTTTTTGTGGTTTCAAGAGATTCCATTATTTTCTATTCACGACAAATTTAGAACTGAATAAGTTTTGTGGCAACAAAAATTATTTGAATTTAAGTGAATAAGTTTTGTGGCAACAAAAAAAAAGACCTGAATTTAAGTGGAGAAGAGCAGAGGTTAAACATAAACCACATGGACCAATGAGGACTCCATTAAAAGCAACCAGCGTTTGCCACGTGGCAGGCGCGTAATCTTGATTGTGTGGCCGTTAAGAATTGAGAGCCAATCTCTCAAATACTTCTTCTACTATAAGTTCTCTCACTCTCTCCCCTCCTCTCTCCTCAACACACCAACAGCATCCTCTCAATCCACCCACTTCTCTCTCCACTCTCGCTCTAGATCACAGCCCTTGGCTTCTAAAATCCAATGGCTGCCGCGGTTTCAACCGTTGGAGCTGTCAACAGAGCACTGGTACCCTCTTTCCCTCCTGTTTTAGGCCTAACTTATCTTTCTTTGTTTTCAAATTCCTTTTATTATATAATATTTCTTATTTTCCTAGTGTTTTATAGTTTTATGTCATGTCTTTCAATTATCAATTGTATATGCTTGTTTGTTATGTATATATATTGGATTGTCTCAATTACTTTAGAAAATAGTGCTACAATTCATTTGTTTGGCACTACTTTGACAACATATGTTAAGGAAAAAATGATCTAAATTTCAGATAAAACACCTTTTTATTAGCTATATGGAAATTGTTTATTGCTTGCAGAATCGTGCAGTTGAAAACTCTTTTCAAAGAAGAAAACCAAATAGTTCCATTTGTTATTTGTGTTTCACGGTAATTACTTGAATATTGGATGGCTAAGCTAAAGTTTGGGGATTGAATTAAACTCACATAACAAGGAATTTTATGTAGTTTTTCTTATAACTCTGCCATTTTCATGCTAATTTGTTCAAATGTTTCACATAACAGTCTCATGCATTAGTGTAAAATTTTGCGTACATCGATCTTTATGAGCATGAATCCAATAATAATTCATCAAAGTAGCTCCTTTGTGTAACTTAATGTAAGGGTAACCCAAACAATTCAAAATAAATTTTATTTTATTATTATTATTATTTATTTCCCCCAAAATTTAGCAAACGCACATGCACCCACAATATTTGCCCTAGCAGCGAAGTTTGAAATAATATAAGGTGGTGGTTGTTTATAGTTTGTCGGTGATTTAGTTACTTAGCTGCAGCTCAATAGTATAATTAGAGTAAAAGGGTGGTTTTGTTTGATGCAGCTGAACCTGAATGGCTCTGGTTCTGGATCCCCAGTTCCAAGCTCAGCCTTCTTGGGTGGCAGCTTGAAGAAGCTAAGCTCCAGAACTACCAGCCCCAAGGTTCCATCAGGAACCTTCAAGGTTGTTGCTGAGACTGAAGAGAAGAAACAGACCGAGAAGAAACAGACCGACAAGGACAGATGGAAAGGCCTTGCCTTTGACACTTCCGACGACCAACAGGACATCACAAGAGGAAAGGGTATGGTGGATTCGCTTTTCCAAGCTCCCACGGGAGCTGGAACTCACCATGCAATCATGAGCTCTTACGATTACATCAGCACCGGACTTCGTCAGTAAGGATTAAATGGTGCTTGCTTACAATTGTATGTATGTTATGAAGAATTTGTTTTTGATCATAAGCTGGTATTGATGCCTTAGGTACAACTTGGACAACAATATGGATGGTTTCTACATTGCTCCGGCTTTCATGGACAAGCTTGTTGTTCACATCAGTAAGAACTTCATGACCTTGCCCAACATCAAGGTATTGTTAATTTAAGTAGGTTTTCTAAGAGTAATGCTATACGTTGTTAATAGTCATTTACTCTAAAAGCTTAAGCTATTAGAGCCACCTTTGGCTCTGATACCATGTTAACTATCATTTACTTTATAAGTTTAAATTGTTAGAGAGGGTGTGACTTTAATATTTATATCCTCTAATATATAGAACAAATTTTCATGATAGATTCACATCAAGAATATTGTCAATCTATTCAACTAATATAATCAAACTATATCCGGTTTTGTGGATTGAAGGGTGACTCAGAGATTAGTCTCTCACTTAGTTTTATCATTTACTTTCATAAAACATGTAATTATACAATTATACCACAATAATCCGGATTGACTAAGCAATTTCGTTACAGGTTCCACTCATCTTGGGTATTTGGGGGGGAAAAGGTCAGGGTAAATCTTTCCAGTGTGAGCTTGTGTTTGCCAAGATGGGAATCAGGTGAGTTCATGATTCACCAAGCCTATTTCATTTTGAAATAAAAGTGCTTCTTGAAGAGAGTAATTGATGACTTGGATAATTTGTTCTTATTTTAAATCTAAAAAGCTTCAATGACAATGTCTTGTTCCTCTTTATTGAGATTATGTTATGATGTTTTGATGTTGTTGTTTCAGCCCTATCATGATGAGTGCTGGAGAGTTGGAGAGTGGCAATGCAGGAGAGCCCGCGAAGCTGATCAGGCAAAGGTATCGTGAAGCAGCTGATATAATCAGGAAGGGGAAGATGTGCTGCCTCTTCATCAATGATCTTGATGCAGGAGCTGGTCGGATGGGTGGAACTACGCAGTACACGGTCAACAACCAAATGGTTAATGCCACCCTCATGAATATAGCCGACAACCCAACTAATGTCCAGCTCCCCGGTATGTATAACAAGGAGGACAATGCCCGTGTCCCCATCATTGTCACTGGTAATGACTTCTCAACACTGTATGCTCCCCTCATCCGTGATGGTCGTATGGAGAAGTTCTACTGGGCACCTACTCGTGAAGATCGTATTGGTGTCTGCACTGGCATCTTCCGTACTGACAATGTCCCTGAAGAAGACGTTGTCAAGATTGTTGACACCTTCCCTGGTCAATCCATTGGTAAGTTTTTCTTGGGAAAAGCTTTTTCTAGTTATCCTGATAATTAAAATTGAGACACTCGTTGGATCAAAATAATGCCACATGTGAGGAGACCTGTTGAAGGATTTAATTATTATAGTTACACACTCTCTAACAGCTTAAGCTTTTAGAGTAGATGGTTGTCCCCAATTCCTGAGTTTGACACATTGGTAAGGATCAATAACATTATGTGACAATATTTGCAGATTTCTTTGGTGCTTTGAGGGCAAGAGTTTATGATGATGAGGTGAGGAAGTGGATTTCGGGTGTTGGGGTTGACGGCGTTGGGAAGAAGCTTGTGAACTCAAAGGAGGGACCCCCAACCTTCGAGCAGCCAAAGATGACACTCGAGAAGCTCCTCGAGTACGGAAACATGCTTGTCCAAGAGCAGGAGAATGTGAAGAGAGTCCAATTGGCTGACAAGTACTTGAGTGAGGCCGCGCTTGGAGAAGCTAACGAGGATTCTATTAAGAGAGGAACTTTCTATGGTTAGCACCCTTGATCCTAGAGGCCTTGACGGGAGGTTTGCATCTAGCTAGCTTCTTGCAAACTTGGGGTGCATTGGACTTGAACAAAGAGTTATTCGGAATTTTGTTTGTTTGTTGTTGTGGTTGTGTTTTTTGCAGGCAAAGCAGCCCAGCAAGTTAATTTTCCAGTTCCTGAAGGTTGTACCGATCAAAATGCAGCGAACTATGATCCGACGGCTAGGAGTGATGATGGAAGCTGCTTGTACACATTCTAGGCCTTTTTTCTAGGTATCTCTTAGAAATGTACTTTCTAAGGATGTAAGGCAAATTAATACAGTAAGACTGTTGCCTCAGTTTGCATAGATGAGTTTCCTGTAATTTTTGTGTTGTAATGTACACTGGGTTTATTCTCGAAAGTTGGCTATTCTTATTAGTACCAACTCAAGTTAGTGTGTTCCTCCATCAAGCAGGGACTTTGCTTCTTTAAGGGTTACTCTCTCACATGATTATCGTATAAACAGACAGATCTTAGAACTTGCACATGTGAGACTCACACGTGTATGAGCTGAAATCCGTCTAATGCGGTGCAACACATACAACTCACCACAGAAGATCCCAATTCGTGACATTAAACCTCACAAGCTGCAAGTTTTTTCTTTAGTTTCACACGTGACATTCCCAAGTTTCTGTTTAGTTTTTTTCTTTAAACATGTGAGGAGACCACATGTTTTTTCTCCTCACAAGTCCAACTTCAATGTCACGAAAAAACTTGGGATATGAATTCCCATGTGACATTCCCCAAACATGTGGAAAAAAGAAACTAAAGAAACATTTTAAGGGAAGATAATGTTTAAGGGAAGATTATACCACCTTTTAGTCATTAAAAAGAAACTAAAATGACTAAATTTTAATAAAAGGTATTTTGGTAAAGAAACTAAAAGGTGGTATAATCTTCCCTTAAACATTATCCAAAAAAGGTGGTAAAATGACTTTGCAAAACTTTTTTAAGAGAAACATGTTATTGAATATATATATATATATATATATATATATATATATATATATATATATATATTAGTTGTAAAATTACAAAATTGCCCATATCCTTCTGAACAAGTAATGGACCTTATAGTTACGTGGCATAGTAACGATATCGACCCTTCTGCAATTTTATGATTGATATATTTTCTTGGAAAAAAAAAAATGACATATTTTCTCTTAAAATGGGGAAACAAAAAGATGCAATTTGTTTAATACTTCCCTAATTCAATGAGATAATTTATGTGCCACAAAACAAGAGTAAAGAAAAGTTAAGTGCAATCAAGCCTAATTTCTAACTAGATGAAAAGTTAAATGCTGATTGACCTTAGTCAAACTCAATCTATTTTATGTATTTGTGTGATCAAACTGTCTCAAATCTTATAGTAGGAGTCAAAATATGAATAAAGGGTGGTCCATCCAATAAAATATGCATATGCTCAGAGTTTTGCACAAGTAGATGTCATTGCAGAGTTGTTCATAGACAAGTCAAGGACAAAATGGAATCTTTCTTCTAAACCCTAAAAAATACTTGTCTAGGGTTCTCAATGCGGACTGAGTTGCTCTTCTTCACGTTTTCATCCCCTAGTTTTCAAGACCATCAACTTCATATTTTTTTATATGACCTTTATTTATTACTTATTTACTTGTGCTCAAAATTTGTTTTCATAAGAGAAATTGATTACCATGGTCAATTCAAATTAGGTAGATTTGCACCTGCTGTCTAAAGTGCCTTTAGTTGTTTATTTCAATTGTACATTATGGCAGCGTATACACTTTGGCAAGTTATTATGGCAGGTATACAATTTGGCAAGTTTATTATTTTGACATTTTTTAACATTTGGCACGCTTTTTCAACAACACTCCAAATATATTTTTTTTCGGATAGATCAGTTGACCAAAATTTTATAAAACATCAATTTTGCGCTTTCCTAGTATAAAAATATTGCCATTCTCTTGTACGAAAATTAAGGAATTACTTTTTCAACAACACTCCAAGTATTTTCTTTTCCATAGATCAGTTGACCAAATTTTAAAAAAAGGTATTTTGCGCTTTCCTAGTATAAAAATATTGGCCTTCTCTTGTATGAAAATTAAGATATTAGTGACTTTTCATACTCAAAGTTACTAACGCAAATAGATTTAAGGATAAAGTACCCTGCATGAGGTTTGAGGTAAGGCCATGCAAATGAAAGTTTGGCTATTTTTGGACAACCACACCCTCTTATAAAATTTGTCATCCAAACAGAGTTTTAAAATATGTGAAAAGTCTATTTTACCATATTTTATTAATTTTAATTATAAAATATCAAAATACTCAAATGACCAAATTACCCTCAGCACCCAATCAATCCTACAACCCTACAACCAAATTCTGGCGCTGCTGCCACACCAAAATCCACAACCACCAACACATACCTGCCCCGACAACCACCACCATCTCCACCCCTATCGATTCAGGTAACGATATGCAAATTACCTTTACCTCTCTCTCTGAATCACCCTTTGTTTTTTTTTTTTTTTTTCTCTCTCTCTTTATTTATAACCCCAACATAACCCCCCCTACCCCAACACACACACCGACAGAAGACCAACAAAAATTTATTCCTTGCAGAGACCAATAGAGAAAGAAAACTGGGTATGGCTTTTGGGTGTTAATTTTTATGTGGGATGGTATTGAAAGTGAATGGTGGTGGTCTGGTGATGATGGTGGTGGTGGTGTATATATATAGGTGTGTGGGTGTGGTGGTGGTTGGCGGCGGCTGCAGTGGGTATTGTGGCTCACTGATAACTGATAACAATACAAACGCATTGGGCGCGTGAGGGGTACACTATTTGAAGAAAGAAGACGATTGTGGGCGCGTGAAGTTTACGTGATTTGCAGTGTGCCAACGCGTGGATGCACATTTGAAGATTTGCAAATTGTCGCCACCTCTGCTGCAACCATCGTCACCGCATTTGTCGCCCGTCGATATCATCAAACCCATCTTTCTAACCAACTCATACTGGCCACGAGGGAGAAACGACGGCTGTGATAAAAACCCGTGGCCACACCTCGTCGACTCCTTTTGTCGGAACCTTTTCTTCATAATGGAAAGCAAGGACTGAACCGGTGAAATACTGCCCGGCGAAACCATTGGTAGAATCTCTGCCATGGAATAGCTAGAGCTTTGTAGAAGATTATGTGTCGGCGAAGAGTGGGCCATGACCGTCGGTGGAGCTTTCTGCAATGGACTCGTTGAAGCTCTGTACAAGAATCATGCGCCGGCGAGGAGTAGACCACAACCGTCGGCGCGTTGTTATTGACGTGCGATTTTGGTGTGTCCATCATAACCGTCCTCCTCCTCTGTTGTGAGGTCAAGAAAACACCGAGGTAAAGGACTCGCCGTCCTCTCCGTTGATTATATATGTGTGTATATATAAATTATTAAGTGATATATATATATATATATATATATATATATATATATATATAGGTTAGAAAGGTAATTTTAACATTCAAATTGGTTAATATAAAAGTCAAATGGCAAAAATGTCAATTAATTACCATTGGGGTGTCTTTGGTAACCGTATCAAACTTGAGGGGGTGTCTTTGTCCCAAAATAGGTCGAGTTTCATTTGTGTGTCATTTTGGCAAACCTCAGGGAATTAGGGTTGCAACTTGGGCGGGCCCAACTCAAAATAACCCGAGCCCAGCCCAAAATTTTGTGGGCTTGGGTAATGTTTTTCTAATTTCCATTTGGGCCTAGGCTATATATTTTGAGTCCGAATTCAATTCCTCACTTAGAGTTGGGGAGGGATAGTCAAAACCTCTATAGCTTATTTCCATATTTATTTTTGGTATCTTTAGTGCGCAAAGAAAATATCAACAATTTAGGTAATTACATGGCAGTTACACGTAAGATTTGGACAAGGAGTAGGCCAATTTAATCGGATAGGAGTAGGCCAATTTACTCCAAAATAATAATAATAATAATAATAAATACATCACATGCTTAACTAAGTCTTCCAATATGCATACATAGGTATTTTAGATATATAAAATTATAGGGTTAATTTCACTGACACCCCCTCAGGTTTGATTAAATATCACCCTCAAATACCCCTAGAAAATAACTATCACTCATATCACAAACTTTTATTCCGTTTTCCACTAACACCCTGTTAGTTGAACAGTTATGTAAAATGACTTAATCACAATTTGAATTTGTCAAACCAACCCTTTAGCTTAAAAAAATTAGATTAAAAGACTTAATCACTATTGAATCCGGCAAGACAATAGGATTCCCGAACTTTCTTCTCGTCCCCTCATCAATTCCTCCTCATGTTCTTCAATTCTTTGAATCTTCTTCTCTCTTTCTCTCCTTGATTTGGCATCACAAACAAGTCTAAACAACACAAAATTCTCTACACGAACTCTCGCACACTCTAAACAACATAAATCCACTATTTGCTTCAAATCATCAACAATCTTAGTCATGACAAAAAGCTGAAAGCGGGTGAGTATATAATTATATATATATATATATATATATATATAATTTTATGAAATCTGGTTTATTTAAAATAGGGTAAATTGCAATAAACCCCCCTGAACTTTACTCCCTCTCCCTAAAAACCCCCCTGAACTATTTTTTTTTACAATTAATCCCTTGAACTATCAAATTTTTTGCAAAATTTACCCACCGGTAGCCTTCCGGCCATTTCTTACCGTTAATTATGCCACTGTTGATCACGTGCCATTCCAAAAAATTTAAAATGACAAAGTTGCCCTTAAGACCATTATACTTTATTGCCAACAGTTTGACTCCACTACACCTACAACTCCGGTAACAACACCGGCGCAATCACCGACACTCCCATGGAAAAACCAAATCTTCTGTTATGTGAAACCACTCCTAACGAAAAACCCGAGTTTGTCTGAATCACACTCCAATTATATACACACATACATAATGTAAGGATGGGTTTGGGAGTAAGAATTTTTTTAAGATTTGTATTCAATTTATATTTAATCATACCCAATTGAACCCACAATCGGAGAGATTGATTTTCTGTATGTCATCAGTGGACCACAAAGATACATAAAGAAGAAAATCCTAAAAAGGAACCCTATATCAACAACACAACCCGCATATCCTTCACAAATTCTCACCATAGACCACACCTAGGACACCACGTTCGTCGTGGGTACGAACGCGCCTATCAAGGACGGCGATGAAACAAAGGGCGTTGGGACTCTCCAGTGACCGAAACTCTTTCGGTGGGCTCTATTGTCACGATCAACGACGTAGATCTAGAGTGTCGGACAGAGGAGTTGATAGAGTGTCGGACAGAGGGTTTGATTATTGGTGTCGATGCAGGGACGGAGAAATCGACGTGAAGTTCACGGCGGCAAGGTTCACCGCCGCTGCTTTACCGCTTTATCGATCTCATCTGCCGCTGCTC